CCACCATGCCCAGCTGATTTTTTGTATTTTTAGTAGAGACGGGGTTTCACCATGTTGACCAGGATGGTCTCGATCTCTTGACCTCGTGATCTACCCGCCTCGGCTTCCCAAAGTGCTGGGATTACAGGCTTGAGCCACCGCAGCGGAAAAGTTTTTTAAAGAGCCACACATGGTGGCACGGCCCTGTAGTCCCAGCTACTACATAGGCTGAAACAGGAGGATCCCTTGAGCCTAGGAGCTCGAGGCTGCAGTGAGCCATGATTGTGCCCATGAATAGCCACTACATTCCAACCTGGGCAACATAGTGAGATTCCCATCTCTCAAAAAGTTTAAAATAAATATAAGTTTCAAAAACTGATTTTAGGCTGAGCACGGTGGTTCATGCCTGTAATCCCAGCAATTCAGGAGGCCAAGGTAGGCAGATCAAGAGATCAAGACCATCCTGGCCAACATGGTGAAATCCCATCTCTACTAAAAATACAAAAAAAATTAGATGGGCATGGTGGCGTGCGCCTGTAGTCCCAGCTACTCAGGAGGCTGAGGCAGGAGAATTGCTTGAACCCAAGAGGCAGAGGTTGTAGTGAGCTGAGATCATGCCACTGCACTCCAGCCAGGTGACAGAGCGAAACTCAGTCTCAAAAAAAAAAAAAAAGATTTTAATAATATATTTTATTTACCCTGATATATCCAAAACACAATCATTTCAACATGTAAATCAATATACAAAACGGTTAATGTTTTACATTATTTTTTTCATATTAAATGTTTGAAATCCAGCGTGTATTTTACCTTATAACACATCTCATTTCACACTACCCACCTGTCAAGTGCTTAATAGCCAGTAACCACGTGACCAGTGGTGTTTCCCATTTGGGGCAGGGCAGGACTAGAGGCAGATTAGTCATAAATTTAGGACACCAGAAAAGCAGGAGGACAAAGGAGAGGGGCTGAGAAAGAGAGAGCGACAAAGAGAGAGATTCTGCTTTGATGAGTTTAACCAGAACCTTGCAAAATAGTCTAGAGAGTGGAGATTTAAGATAAGCCTCGGCCGGGCACGGTGGCTCACTGCACTGTGAGAGGCTGAGGCGGGCAGATCACCAGAGGTCAGGAGTTTGAGACCAGCCTGGTCAACATGGTGAAACCCTATCTCTACTAAAAAGACAAAAATTAGCCAGGCATGGTGGTGCACGCCTGTAATCCCAGCTATTCAGGAGACTGAGGCAGGAGAATCGCTTGAACCCAGGAGGTAGAGGTTGCAGTGAGCTGAGATCATGCCATTGCACTCCAGGCTGGGTGACAAAAG